AAAAAAAAAAAAAAGATTTACACCCTTGGAAACCCTATAGGGCAGTTCTACTCTATAGAATAGCCTATAGGGTTGCTAAGAGTTAGAATCAACTCAATGAAAATGGGGTTTTAGTGACCCTTCTGTTTTATTTCTTTGTAGGTTATTAATATCCAAAATATTTACATTACTTCTCCTCCCTTTACTTTCATTAAGCCCTGTAAGAGGAAGGACATTTTCTGTTTTTACCCCTAGTTAGGTGGTTGCTAGCATGCTGCCCAGCACTTAATTTCTATGTCCCATAATAGTAGTATATAACTCATAGGGTGTGACTTAAGTATGTTAATACACATAAAGTGCTTAGAAAAAATGACTGGCACAAAGAAAGCACTCAACTACAAAGGCAATTAACATGTAAAATAATAAATGCCACAGTAGGAGCCTAGTGGTACAGAGATGCCATTAGGTTAAACGCTCAGCTCCTAACGTGAATGGTTGGCAGTTTGAAATCACCTACCAATTCCGGCAGGTGAAAGACCTGGTGGTCTGCTTCCATTAAGATTACAGCCAAAATAAACCCCTGTGAGGCAGTTCTACTCTGTTACGTGGGGTCTCTGAGTCAAAAATGACTGTATCTAACAGCAACCTAACAACACAGTAGGGGAAGGAAAGTGTGGGGAAAATACAGAAAACCTAGTGTAGGGCTGAAAGTTGAAAGACGGGTTAGATGAGTTTAACAGGTTGGAGGAAAGAGGAATATATTTTGAGGTGAGGGAATAGTATGTGCAAAGCCTTCTGGGTCAGAAAGAACTTGCTTCTGATTTCCTGGATAAGTGTCACATATTCCCAAGGTTTGTTTCAAACATCTATAGAATTTTAAGAAATACAGTGAGATACTTTCAAGAAAATTTAACCTCAGAGAGAAAATTTTAAATGTAAATATGTGTTTAAATCTTATTCAAGTACTTGAAACCTTAGGAAAATGCACAGTTGTTTTGTTTAGTATTGACAGTTTGATTTATCAGTTTTGCCTCTATCATTTTTTTGCTTGTTGTTTTTTAGGCATACAAATGGTGTATTGAAGCAATGAAAGAAATTACAACTGGCTTGCCAGTCAAAGTTGTGGTAGATGTTTTAAGACAAGCTTCTAAGGTGAATATATATTAAAATATAATGTTAAATGAATTATAGGATTTATCAGATTTTAAATTTCTTTTAATTACTCTACTGTTTAACAAATTTGGTAATGCATATGCCATAGACTAACAAGATCTATTTTTTAAAGATTTCAAGATCAATCCTTTAAGTACAGTGCTATCAGTGATAATGTCTATTCATTACAGAGACCAGCTAATACTACCATTGCTCAGATTTACGCACCAACCCCCAAAGTGAGAGATGAAGAAGTTGATTTTTACAACTTCTGTGGTCTGAAATGGACCAAACGTGCAATCAGAGTGTATTGATAATTACTGCTGATTAGAGTGTGAAAATTAAAAACAAAGAAGATGCATTAGTAGTTGCAAAATAGGGCCTTGGTGATAGAAATGACACCAGAGACCACATGATAGAATTTTTCAAATACCTATTTTCAACAACATAAATGGCTATTACACATGTGAACCTTGCCAGATGGAATACACAGGAATCAAATTGACTACATCTATGGAAAGATGTGATGGAGGAACTCAATATCATCAGTTGACCAAAGCCAGGAGCTGACTGTGGAACAGACCATCAGTTGTTCATATGCAGGTTTAAGTTGAAACTGAGAAAAATTAAAACAAGTCCACAAAAGCCAAAATACATCCTTGCTTATATTAAAAAAAAAAACCTCACAGCCTTCGAGTCGACTTGACTCATAGCAACCCCTCTTTTGGTTTCCGAGGCAGTATCACTACAGAAGTAGATTTCCAGTCTTCCTTCCGAGAAATGGCCACTGGGTTTGAACCACCAGCCTTCTGGTTAGCAGACAAATGCCTTAGGCACTATGCCACCAGAGCACCTATATCCCACCTGAAGTTAGAGACCATCTGAAGAATACATTTGACGCATGAAACACCAGTTACCAAAGACCAAATGTGTTGTGGGATGACATCAAGACCATCATACATGAAGAAAGCAAAAGTCATAAAAAAGACAGGAGATTTAGTATAGACAAAAATGGATGTCAGAAGAGACTCTGAAACTTGCTCTTGAACAGAGAGTAGCTAAAGTGAATGGAAGAAATGATGAAATAGCTGCACAGAAGATTTCCAAGGGTGACTCGAAAAGACAAAGTAAGGTATTACAGTGAGATGTGCAAAGACCTGGAATTACAAAACCAAAAGGGAGGAAAACGTTCAGCATTTTACAGGCTTAAAGAACTTGAAGAAAAACTCAAGGTTTGGGTTGCAATATTGAAAGATTCTGTGGGCAAAATATTAAAAGATGGAATAAGCATCAAAAGAAGATGGAAGGAATATAGAGAGTCACTGTACCAATTAGAATTGGTCAACATTCAGACATTTTATGAGATAGCATATGGTCAGGAACTAAATGGTATTATAGGAAGAAGTCAGAGCTGCAGTGAAGGAATTGGCGAAAAATAAGATGCAAAGAATTGCATCCCCACTGAGATGTTTCAACAAAAAGATGCAGTGCTGGAGGTGCTTATTCATTTATGCCAAGAAATTTGGAAGACAGCTACCTGGCCAACTGACGGGAAGATAACGGTATTTGTGCCCATTCCCAACAAAGGTGATCCAACAAAAAGTGGAAATTATCAAACAGTATCATCAATACCACACAAGTAAAATTTTGCTGGAAATAATTCAAAAACTTTTGGCAGCAGTATATTAACAGGGAACTGCTAAAAATTCAAGCTTGATTTAGAAGAGGAAGTGGAACAAGGGATATCATGGCTGCTGTCAAGATGGATTTTGGCTGAAAGCAAAGAATACCAGAAAGATTTACCTGTGTTTTATTTACTTTGCAGAGGTATTCAGTGTGTGGATGATAACAAATTATAGACAGCATTGTGAAGAATGGGAATTCCAGAACCTTTGAACTCATTTCATTTCTTATTCAAGTTATTTGTATTCTCTTCCTCTTTTCCTTTGTTAAATTTGCCAGTGGTTTGTCAATTTTGTTAATCTTTTCAAAAAACAACTTCTACTCTTGTTTTTTTTCTATTGTCTTTCTTTTTTCTGTTTCATTTATTTCTGCTCAAATCTTCATTATTTCCTTTCTTGTGACTATAGACTTTTCTTGCTGTTCTTTTTCTAATTGGAGATGTTGGTTTAAAGTGTTGATTTTGGCTCTTTTCTTCTTTTTTGATGTGTGAATTTATTGCCATAAGTTGGCCTCTGATGAACGCTTTTGCTGTGTCTGAAAGATTTTGGTATGTTGTGTTTTCATTCTTGTTTGATTCAGGGAATTTTTTTATTTCATTTTTTATTTCTTGTCTTACGCAGTCTTTCTTAAGGAGGGTGTTGTTCAGTTTCCATGTGTTTGCACTTTTTCTGTTGATCTTCCTATTGTTGATTTCAGAACACTTGTGCCCATGACGAGTACTTTGACTAAGACGCAGTCATTCGAACAAAACAAGGGGATACTGCATGGTTTAAATGCTGGAAAGGTACATGTTCTGGTTACCTAGTACCATTCTGACAAGAATATATCACAAATGGAATGGCCTTAACAAACAGGAGTTTATTCTCTTACAGTTTGAAGGCTGTAAGTCCAAGTTCAAAGTGCCAGGCTCTAGGGGCTGTGTGAAAGCCCCTCAGCCTTGGGCTTCATTTCTACCTCCAGCTCCCGACCCACTGAAGCTAGAGGCTTTTCTTTACTTAGACAGCTGCTGGCTGCTGAAGCTGCCAAGCCCAAGGTTGACAAGTAAAAAGGCACAGTCCCAATGTTACCAAACCACATGGTAGGCCATTAATTCAAGTTCATTCTAAGTCCCCAGGTCATCAGAGCATGGCAGGCTGCTGAACAACGACGTGACTACATGCAGGGTTCGAGGTGCCTTAAGCTAGCTACTATCCCCAAGGCTTCTCCTTGTATACAGGAAGCAGACCATATCCCAAAGGCAGCTACTCAGCTGCTTATGGTAGATCCCACCATGGAATTGATTGCCATTCTCATCATGGGGAATCACTACCACTAGCTGCCCAGCCACTCAGCCAGGCCCAGCCAACTTAACATACAAACTGAACTACCACAATTCCACCCTTTGTCAACTTGGCACCTGTACAGATCTTCAATGGGTGGTATCTGTATAGGTCTCCTCCACTGGGTGGCTCCAGTCCCCTAGTTCCTGAGTGGTGACCTCACCCCCTTGGCCTGGTGGGCCCCATTTTTCTGCCTCTTGGGCTTGCCATCCTCAGCAGGTAGCTGTCTTAGTGAAGAAAAGCCTCTAGCTTCAGTGGGCCGGGCACTTTGAGCTTGGGCTCAGAGCCTCCAAATTGTAAGAATAAACTCCTGTTTGTTAAGGCCATCCCATTTGTGGTATATTTCTCGTCAGAATGGCACTAGGTAACCAGAACTTTGCATGCCAGGATTCTGTCCTTTCACCGTACTTATTCAATCTGTACGCTGAGCAGATAATCCAAGAAGCTGAACTATGTGAAGAAGAACGTGGCATCAGGATTAGAGGAAGACTCGTTAACAACTTGCAATATGCAGATAGCACAACTTAGCTTGTTGAAAGTGAAAATGACTTGAAACACTTACTGATGAAGATCAAAGACTACAGTCTTCAGTATGGATTATACCTCAACATAAAACAGAAATACTCACAAGTAGACCAATAAGCAATATCACAATAAATGGAGAAAAGATGGAAGTTGTCAAGGATTTTATTTTACTTGGTCACACAAACCACGCTTGAAGAAACAGCAGTTCAAGAAATGAAAAGATGTACTGCACTGGGCAGATCTGCTGCAAAAGACCTCTTTAAAGTGCTGAAGAGTAAAGATGTCACTTTGAAGACTGAGGTGCACCTAACCCAAACCTTGGTATTTTCACTTGTCTCATATGCATGTTAAAGCTGGACAGTGAATAAGGAAGATCAAAGAATAATTGATGTATTTGAATTGTATTGGCAAGGGATACTAAAAATACCATGGACTACCAGAAGAGTGAATAATAAATCTGTCTTAAAAGAAGTACATCCAGAATGCTCTTCAAAGTGAGAATGGCCAGACTTGGTCTCACTTTGGTCGTGTTTTCAGAAGGGACAAGTCCCTGGAGAAAGATATCATGCTTGGTAAAGTAGCAGGGGTCAGCAAAGAAAGGGAAGATCCTCACCAAGATGGATGGACACCATGACTGCAATCATGGGCTCAGGCGTCACAAAGATTGTGAAGCCGGCACAGGACCGAGCATTGTTTCGTTCTGTTGTACATATGGTAGCTGTGGGTTGCACCTAACAACAACAAGCAGCAGAGGTATTCAGGTTACCATTAGGGTTAGAAAAGAGATTTTAATATTTTTTAACTAATTCAATGCATTAAATAAATATTTTTTATAAAGATACAGGAAAATATACTTGCAGGATATCCTATATGCAAATCATATTTAGACTACAAAAACTATCAACATATTTTAAGAAAAAATAGAAACTTGAAATCCTGTGGATTTAAAAATTACTAAATGAAAACTTCAAAAGGTTATTTCAAACTACATAGCACTGAGATTCAGATACCTTATAAAAGAATATGGTGATATGGTGATGGTAATAACATATCTGACAAGGGACTTATCCCTAGAATTTATAGAACACTCCAACACCTCAATAACAAAAAGACAAACAATCCAATT